CCTATCTGCTTTGCCAGGCAATTTTTGACAGTTATATCCTCTACCTCTAGCTTTTCCGTTGTCAGGATCATTATAGATTGTGCTCTGCCAGTAATCCAGATATAAGGAAGTGTCTGGGCAATCTCCTATGAATTGGATTAGGGATTGGTTGAGCTTTCATCTCAAGACTGATGTCAAGGAGATTCTGACTCGGTAAGACAAACATGATCACTGAGGAGCAGAAAGTGTACATGTAGAGTGATGCTCTCATCTCTGCTCAGGAATGCTTCTGGAAGAAGTTGGACATGATGGTAGAGAGGCTCTTCATCATGGTTTCCTCATCCTATTGTTTATATAATCCACGCTTCTTTCATTTACTGCACCGGTCCCCAACCTTTTTGGCACCAGGGACCAGTTTCATGGAAGACAGTTTTTCCATGGACTGGGGGGTTGGGGATGGTTTTGGGATGAAACTGTTCCACCTCAGATCATCAGGCATTAAATTCTTATAAGGGACATGTAACCTAGATCCTTTGCCTGTGCAGTTCACAATAGGGTTTGCACTCCTATGAGAATCTAATGCTGCTGCTGATCTGGTAGGAGGCAGAGCTTAGACGGCCATACACACTCGCCTGCTGTTCACTTCTTGCTGTTTGGTCCAATTCCTAACAGGTACTTTGTTGTGACAATTGAGTCTAGGGATTAGGGGCCCCTGATTTACTGCACTTAAAGTGTAACTGTGAGTCCAAATCCCTGATCCTCAAGACAACTAACAGTTCACTTTGAGATCTCATGGATCTTTATTACTAGAGCCTGTGGTGGAATTTTAGACATCAGCAACAGGATATATGACTTTAGTGGAAAATATTTTCTGAAGGGGCAGAATGTGTTCTTGCTATCCTTACCTTCTTGCTATCCTTACCCAGCATTTATATTGCAGCTAGCAACTAGCATTGCTTATAAATAGGATTAGCTCTGGTAAACATAAGTAATAAAATGCCATTTTGTTTTCCAAACCTAAATGTTGACCTGCACCATGCAGAAGATATTTAAGAAATATTCGTTGAATGTTAACTGAAAGCATAGATTAGAAATTGGAGGGAATCAATAGGTATTATTGCATTGTTTGCCAGATTTAGGTTTAGGCCTGTCATTTTTACCTCCTATGATTAGCTAATGTTTACTCTAACCCTGTAATTCCACATTAGAATGATTAATAATTTTAAGCCAAAAAGGAAAATGAATGAATTTGGTTTAGCACCTGGAAGCCTTGAAATGCTTAAGAGGAAATGTGTTCCAAATTAGAATAAAAAATTCATATTTATATCGAGTATATATTGTTAAGAGAACCCAGAGGAAAGAGTGGACTCAAAACATGTCTTTTTTGGCAACATATGGGAATTTTAGACTGAAAAGGAAAGGGTGCGTATGTCTTAGAGGAGTAGTGCATGTCATGTAGTAGGTACTCAATAAATGTTTCTTGGCCAGGCATGGTGGCTCATGCCTGTAATCCCAGCACTTTGGGAGGCTGAGGCAGGAGGATGGCTTAAACCTAAGAATCCAAGGCAAAGCTGGACACCATGGTAAGAAACCATCTCTACAAAAAAATTTAAAAAAAAAATTAGCTGGGTATGGTGCCACATGCCTTTCCTACCAGACACTCTGGAGGTTGAGGTGGAAGAATTGCTTGAGCTCAGGAGGTAGAGGCTGTAGTGAGTCATGATCGCACCATGACTCTCCAGCCTAGGCAACAGAGAAAGACTCTGTCTCCCCACTCACCTCCCACCCCCCAAAAAAAAAGAAAAAGAGAAAAAATTTCTTGAATAAGTATGTTAGTTGAACATCCATAGACAGATTTACAGGATCAGTTAATGTCCACCAAGTTGAGAGAACCCAGTGGCAGGAGCTCCTAGTCCTTAGTATATGATTTGAGTGAAGATAAAAATGACACACCTAACAAAATGTTTCATGAAATAATCCAAAAATTCTTATCTTCATTGCTTACAATGACAAACCCAATCTAATCAGATAAAACTTGGTAAAGATAATGCCTGAAGCACTATTTTTGGGTCTAAAAAAGTATAAATAAGCATAAATATAGGATGGAGTTAACGGCAAATGTTTTGAAAAAAGATGAAAGGATTAGGAATTTAGGTGATAGCCTACTCAGTGTGATCCAACAATATGAAATAACTCCAACCTCCTTTCTTGCATATTTTAAAACTCTCCACAAAAACTAAGGCGATGATCCCAGTTATTATCTTCATTACATTAATTGAGTTTATTGTCAATATCATGGAAGTGATTATATTTTACTATGTGCTAAAAACACATCTAGTTAAACACTTTTTATAATTTTAAGGAATATTATCAGAGGAGAGCAATGAGGGTAGTGGAATTCTTCACTTGGGTATCAGGGAGTTGGTGAAGGAAGCAATATAATTATGTAGAAGAGAGCTCTTGGCATGAGCCATGATTTCAAGAGGGGGGAAATAGGACCAATGAGATAAATTAGTAGGAAGCATATTTTGGCTCAATGTAGGGGAGAATTTTGTACTAATTCTAACAATTAGACCTGAATGTGCTGCCTTGGGAAGCAAGCAAGTGTTCATTTGGCTACTAAACAGAACAGAGATTCATGTGTCAGATGAGGGGGTTGAACCAAATCACCTTCAATATCACTTCTTATTGTAAGATTCTGTGACACTTTGTGTGCAATAACAAGATATGTCTCTGTACAGGCTTTCCCAGCTATATTCTTTAAGGAAGTTGAGGATAGGAGAACAAGCACTGTAAATGACTGCACATCCTGAAATGAGAGGCAAGGGCATTTGTAGATATGTGCATAGTTGTTGGGCTAGAGTGCCTGTGTCCAAATTCCAGCCATGACTTACATGTACTAGCCAGTGACCTTCAATTAGTTATTTAACATTTCTGTACCTCAGTTTCCATATATAAAATGGGGATAGTATAGTATCTACCTAATAGCTTTGTTGTGACAATTGAATGAGTTAATTCACATGAAGCTTTTAGAATGGTATCTGGCTCATAGTGATTGCTAGATACTGTTATGTTTGCAACTATAATTACAATTAACTGTTCATGAAGACATCATAGAGTGAGATGGTATATTTTATTCTGCATTACATGTATGCTTATGTATTCTTTGGAAGAAAATATTATAGAGAAAGCATGTATATTGGACACAGGCAGGCTCTTTATGGGCTGCGTGGTCTTGGACAAGTCATTTGACCTCTGCTTTTCTTAATAACTCTCTAGTTATAGGGCTTCTGTAAAATTAAGTGAGTAATAATAATAAATGTCAGCGTAGTAATAAATGTCAGCTCCTATTGCCCATGGAAAGATAGTATTTCAATTTCAATTCCTATTCAAATATCTTTTTATCTAGAGACCACAGCAGGGCAGGGTCAATGTAGCAACTTAGGGCTTGAAGTGACCTGAGACATCTTCCAGCAATTGCCTCTCATGTAGAAGATGGGAGAGTAGGTTCCTTAAGAGTTGAGAGACTTGCAGAAAGCCTTATAGCTTCTTCCTATGGGAGAAGAGCTATATGGTGGAGGGAAAGTGGAAAATAAGTAAATATTCAGAGTACATTTTTTGGGAAAAAGTGTGTAGCTTCTGAGCTCTTGTGCACTTTTAGCTGGGTGTTTTTGTGAAAGAGTGTGTGTGTGTGTCTGTATGTGAGTACATATATATATGTATATATCTATGTGTATGAATAAGAGTGTGTAAGTGAGCATGTGTTTGTGGGTGACTGATTATCTGGCTAGTGTGATAATGCCACTTGCTGGCATGCAGGCTTTTTCATTATCTCTAGCTCAGTATACCAAGAAAAGAAAGAAAACAGTAAAAAAGAGAATGCATCCTGCTGTTAGCTGGATGCTGACTTTCTTTTTCTGGATCTGGCACTTTGATTCCTCACAACTTCAACTTTTTCCTAAGGAAAATGAATGTGTCTGTCTCTTACCTTCACCATCCCACTTTAATGAAGTTTCCTTTAATTACATCTATAAAACCCAAGGCTTAATTTTATTTGATGACACTGTCTTCTGCAGACACTTTGGTTTTCTTTTGAAGACACTAAGAGAGCCTGGAGCTCTGTGCCAATTTCCTCACTGGTACTGGCCACTGGGGAAGCTGCCTGAGACAAGGGCATCTGAAGGGACAGGAGCCTTGAACTCAGTTAATCAGCTGGAGACCCAGAGCAGTATCAAAACTGAGTTTTTGATTATGCATATTTATCCTGATTTCTACAGCTTCCTTATGCTCGCCCCTCTCCCCCAAATATTCTACAACACTGAACCATTTTATTCTGAGTTGTACTTAACACTTAGGAAGTCTTAATGTTTGCTTCATTAACATAACTGTTAGAAAGTGCAGGGGATGATGAGGTTTAAAAAATGAGTTTAAGATCAAGAGTGTGTACTTTTTGTTTTTCTTTATGGAGTTACATTGCTCATATTGTTTATGTTCAAATTATTGACTACTTTGCTGCTTGCATAAAAAAATGGCTGCTAATTTTTATGTATTTTGATCTTTGTTTTTATGGATGATGCAAGAAAATGATCAAGAGCTCAATTACACTTACTGGCATAATATTTGTTAATTGTGAGACTGTTAAAAAGAAACATTCCTTTGAGGATCAAGCAGAACCACCTCCTGTCCTCTTGTATAGAATAGTACTCCTATGAGGGAATGCTGCTAATGAAAAATTTATATATAACTTTGTGTAAAGGAAGTTTTTAAGTTCTGAAACGGAGTGGCATATAATTGCCTGTAATCTCTAGGCTGGTATTTTACTGTGGCACTTCTTTGCTTCTCATTCTAATAAAATATTAACATGGTAAGCTAATTGTTTCTGTCAGAAACAAGTTGTTCAGCATAATAACCATTTTATTCATTTGATAACGTGTCGTTTAACTTGGTAGAACTGTCTGAAAATTATGTCATGTTTTTTCCCATTTTCATATCTACTCTTGCTTTCTGGTTGCCCATTCTAGCAATACAAGACCAAGTCAAGCTACAAGGCTTTTGCAGCAATCCCTACAAACACATTGCTTTTGGAACAGAAGGTCAGTGTTGGCTCAAAAACAGTGAATTTTACGTTTCTAATGTGATTTTTAAAATGTTTTCTAAAATTTCTGTTGGGAAGATTTCTGTTTTAAAGTTCTGCCTTTACTAAAATAATATTCCGTTCTCAGTTTAGGATGATGTGGTGAAAACATTTTGGTGAATATAATTGTAGTAGACGTTATTGGTTTATCACTAGAGGTTGAATATGAGCCTAGAGATGTTTAATCCACTGTCAAGCTGCTTTGGGAAACTTGATTCAGATTTGGATAAATCCTTCTTCTTTGAAATTTTAAATAATTATTATATTCAAAAACTTTCATATCAAGAACTTTCATATCTCTCCATATTGATTAAAAGAATTGGGGTAAAATGGGATTATTTGTGAACAGTTGGCCACATTGGTTGTTGACTGGTAAATACTTGGTGACTAACAGTGGCTTCCACCATTGTACTATACTGATACTCAGATATTATAACTGAGTATTCAACTCAGCCTCATAGATTCCATTGTGGACTAAACCTCTTCACACATCCATTCTTGCCATCCAGTGGTCCCACTTTCATCAACAGAAAAGACTGAGATGACGGTCAGTGACCTAACTGCTTTCACATGGCTCCAAGAGATTTTTGCTTTGCTATTAAGGGTCATTTATAATAAAATTATAGGTTGTTATGTAAGTAGGTAAATTAAATTAAAGCCTCCTGTTTAATAAGTATGTTATGCATGTTTAAATGAAAGCCAAATAGAGTTATATCAGAATCAAAGTGAAATGACTTACCAAGTCTGTGAAATTATCCATTTCATATATTACTTTTATGATTATGTATTTAGTCAATTTATTTCTCAATGCACTAAGTCTATTATTTTTTCTGTGTAATTATGGAGTTTCAAGACTGTTGCTATCATTTATCTAAACGTTGTTTGCCAACCAGGTGGTATTTTGATCACTGGTTTATAAATCTACATTCTTATTCTTTCAGCATGATCTGAAGAGTAAAGCCTTTGTATGAGCTCTTATCTAATAAGTAGGAATTGTTAGTGGGATAAGTAGTGTATAGGTAGACATTAATTCCAAATTATACACAGGTAGTGTCCAATGTATGTTCTGTATATGTAAGTGCTTTGAACTGTAGGTTCACTAGGCTGCAGAAAAATCTGCAGCTTTTTCCCTAGCATCTTTCCTGAATTTCTACCCCTTATTGCCCGTTAAAAGATGAGATGGGACTAAAATACAGATTTCAGGAGACTTCAGGAGGTTGTGGAAAGGGACACTTTTCCATTGCCCCTTATTCTACACTCTAGGGCCATAATGGTGGGAGATGGTGGCAGAGTTCCCACACCACAGACTCTCTGCCTATTTTGGATGACTATTTCTGGAAACTTGTCACAAGTGTGTGCTTTCACAGATGTGGGAGAATCACTCTCCATCAGCAGTGAGACAAAGAGGAGTTGAGGAGCCTGCTTTCATCCTCATCCTTCCCTCATACTTGTCTCACCTCATCTAGGCATATTTTCCTGGAACTATGTTCTGCTACTATGTAAATTTCCTATTTAGAAAAATGAAAGTTAATTCTTTCTGAAAGTCTTCTGTGAGATAAGACTAGATGTCAGTACTGTTTCCAGAATCTCTGTCCATTAGGATTGTTTCCAGAATTCTCTTCCAATTAACTAAATTATAGAGTTTATAATGTATTCATTAGTCAGTAAAGATGAAGAGTCATTAGTTTTATTTCCAATTTTATTAGAAACCCATTTCATAAATGTATATGGTGGTATTGATGTATATTTAACCTATTATACACGTTCATGTGTAAAAGATTTTGTGTTTTTAATTTTAAATAAAACGTTCTGTAGGAAAAGTATTTCTATTTTTAGTACGAAAATATAAACATGACATCTATATTTAAAATAATGTTATTCCAGAGGGGGCTGAATTATTGTACAAGTACTAATGTAGGTTATTGTCTCTTGGCTAGTATAGTTTTTGGACCATAAACATTTAACTTATTCAAAGGTCTCAGATGTGATGTGAATTTTTTTTTCTTTAGGCCCTTTAAATTATTCCACATATTTTCTACAGGCTTTCCTATGTTATGTGTTCCTCAATAAGAAACTTTACTTTGTAAGAATTTTAAAATATCAAAGCCTTGTCTAAAGATTTTATGAGTTACCTCCATTTTCAATGGTATTTTTTGAATGATATTGTATTGCTCCTTTTGGTGTTACAGTTTTAAAAAGTAAATCTGGCAATTTAATCCTCTACACCCATCTGCATATACAATAGGCTTTATCTTAATGCCATTGAAATCAAAGGGATTTATTTCTGAATTGAGTGGGAAAATTAGGACTATCATCTTGAGGAACTCTTCTATTTAGGGAAGAATAAAAATCTTGCAATATTTTAAATCACAGAAGGTTTTCTGAGATCTCTTTGATATAACACAGAACACCACAATTCAGGGGTAGGGCAATGTTGTAGATTCATTATAATACTTGGCTATGGTCCATGCTGTGGAATGCCTTGAAGCTGGAGCTAACAAAAATAATTCACGTCTTAGCTATTTCAACAATTATCTCTCCAACTGGATTATACCCATGGTGGGTATCTTATGCCACATTCTGTTCTACAGCATATAGTATAATTAATGAGAAACCAGATTTACTTTTTTAAAATAATGCTATTTTTAAAAACAAGATTTTCTCCGAATTGAAATACAAGCATCCCTTGTAATGAGACATTAAGCTCTCGTTGAATTACTGGATTGGTTTCAGTTTTAATCAACCCTGGATGAAGCCCATCATTTTTAAAAGAGTACACTTTGTTGGCAGGGAACATGAGGTTTCTAGTACTTCTGTTCTGTAATTTATTGTCCGCATCAAAATTTAAATTTATATCTTATTCCATATTCTATCATTTTTTCCCCTGTGAACCTTTAAGAAGGAAGCATTTGTAGCTTAAGTCTTAAATAAGGATTTATAGGGAGAGATAAATGTAAGGTATGATTTTTATTGTGTTGGCTTCATCAGGGTCTTTGGCTTAATCTCCTGCCAATAATCATCTTCTCCAAGAATCACATGAGGATGAAATACAAATGACTATGAAGTAATCAGATTACTTTACATTGTGACTGTCCATAGACTTTATTACATTATGTTCAACAATATACTAACGTCTGTAGATAAAATAACTTTGATATGGACCTTATTTTTAGTCTTTGTATTAGTCTGTTTTCACTCTGCTGATAAAGACATAACTGAGACTGGGAAAAAAAGAGGTTTAATTGGACTTACAGTTCTACATGGCTGAGGAGCCCTCAGAATCAAAGGCACTTCTTACATGGTGGCAGCAAGAGAAAATGAGGAATAAGCAAAAGCAGAAACCCCTGATAAATTCATCAGATCCTGTGAGACTTACTCATTATCATGAGAACAGCAAGGGAAACACCAGTCCCCATGATTCAATTACCTCCCTCTGGGTCCCTCCCACAACACATGGGAATTCTGGGAGCTACAATTCAAGTTGAGATTTGGGAGGGGATACAGCCAAACCATATCAGTCTTGATGTGTATATTGCTCTCTTTTTCAGAGAATGTTAAAGGTCTCTCTTTCATTGACTAGTTTTTCTTCTTATCTGAGTCTGACAGCAATAGGTAAACAGTTAAAATTAAACTGTTTGGCACATACTAATATTCAAAATAAATAGATTGTTATTTTTATCATGTAATTGTTAAAGGAGGAGAGAATGAATGAAGTAGTATTTCCATAAAATCAAAGAATATGCATCTTTATTGTCTTACCGATGATTAATATTTTTCCATGAAAATATAAATTTTTCCTTGAAAGTAATTTAAATTCTCTGTTTCCTTCCTCATAAGTATTTCTGAGCATAAAATTAGGGCTGGGGCTAGGTACAATGTTCCTAATAAATGGCGTTACTCTCTGCCATTTTCATGATACATTTGATTCATAAGAAGTGTGTACTCGACGGAAGAATTCTGGAGCAGCTCAGTTTTATATATAGCAAAAAATAATTACAGGTTTAATTCTTTAAATGGAAAGTTATAGGATAAACATCTTTCTTTTGGTGCAAGGAATATAAAATTTGTTATTTTAACAACTAATAAAAATGATGGCATAAAAAGAGAAAGGCAAACTTGTGATATATCCTGTCAGCTGTCAAGTCTATTTATTCTAAGTTGTCTCTTGGATTTTTTGTTTCCTTTTTTGAAATGGGGTCTTGTTATGTTGCCCAGGCTAGATTTGAACTCCTAGTCTCAAGCAATTGTCTTGTCTCAGCCTCTTGAGTAGCTGGGACTACAGGTACACAACACCACACCCAGCTAAGTTGCCTATTTAATTTTTTAAAGCATGAGTTGCTAAACTCCAATCTTATTAAACACATGTCCTTAGGTGAGAATATTTTAAAATCTCTTTATGTCTTGGCAGGGTGTAATGGCTCATGCCTGTAATCCCAGCACTTTGGGAGACCGAGGTGGGTGGATCACCTGAGGTCAGAAATTCGAGATCAGCCTGACCAACATGGTGAAACCCTGTCTCTACTGATAATACAAAAGAAAAATTTAACCGAGTATGGTGGCAGATGCCTGTAATCCCAGCTACTCTGGGGGCCAAGGAAGGAGAATCACTTGAATTCGGGAGGTAGAGGTTGCAGTGAGCCGAGATTGCGCCACTGCCCTCCAGCCTGGGTGATACAGTGAGACTCAGTCTCAAAAAAAAAAAATTTGTTTATGTCTTAAAAATTTAACAAAACCTTATTGCTAATTTAGAACATGACCTATATTAGAGAAACATTGCTTAATTTAGATTTTAGTACAAGAGACAAATGTGTTCCCAATTTCTTTAATAATGGAGAAGAGTCCAGGACTCAAATCTATGGTAGATGGTTCTCGGGTAGTTGTCTACTGTGTGCATAACTTTAAAAAGTTATCAAATTGTATTTAATTATGCATATTTACTGCTTTCTTTCTTTATCTTGA